TTTCTGACACATCTCTTGGACTAAATGGACCAGGTGCCTCATTAAACCATTTGGTGAATTTTCCATTCTTTTAGTTTTACACCTTTATCAACAATCAGACATAGTGAGTGGAAAGCATCACAGAGCTTGAAGACTTCACAGGGTAATAAAACATCTGTGGGTAGTGAGAACACCACAGAGCAATAAAACATCTCTGAGCATCCCGGGTTACATGTCACAGTATTCACCCAGTGTGCTGGATAGCTTTAGTGTCAACTTGACACACCTGGGTTGAGGGAGCCTCAATTGGGGAATTTCCTTCATTGGACTGGCCTGTGGCCATGTCTATGAGGCATCTTCTTCATTGTTGTGTGATGTGAGAGGGCCCAGTGCATTGTGGGTGGTGCCACCCCTGGGCAGGTGGGCCTGTGTTGAATAAGAAAGCAGGTTGAGCAGAGGCCAGGAAAGCAAGCCAGTAAGCAGTCTTCCTCCATGGCCTGTGCTTCACCTCCTGCCTTCAGGTTCCTGCCCTGAGTTCCTACCTTGGGCTTCCTGATGAACTGCAACCTGGGAGATGAAAGCTGAATAAACCCTTTCCCCCCCAAGTTGGTATTGTTCAGAGTGTTTTGTCACAGCAATGGAGAACCAACTAGGATACCCAGTAAGTAACACAAAGGAAACTTCAAATGGTCTAACTTTACTAGGACATTATGTAAGAATATAGTTAAGGGGGTTGGAGAGATGGTTCAGCAGTTAAGAGAACTGGCTGTTCTTGCAGAAGACCCAGGTTTGAATCCCAGCACCCACATGGTGGCTAACAACCATCTGTAACTCCAGTTCTAGGGGATCTGATGCTCTCTCTTGTCCTCCATGGGCATTACATGACACAGGTTCCCTTGCATACATGCATGCAGTACATACATAAACATAAAATAAAAATAAAGCAAAAAAAAAGTGATTAGACCTAAAAAAGAACACAGTTAGTTATAAGACTATAACTTTTTCCTTATCACTCTCTTACTGGGACTGGCCTGGGACTCCAGGTTCTGGCCAACTGGATGACACAGATGGCCAGGAGGGAGTGGGCACACTGAGCTGCCATTGTTCATTCCTTCCTGCATGAGGACAGGCAACAGAAGCAAACAGCAGGAAATAAGGAGGGAGCATCTGGGCCTTGAGTGGCAGGGTAGGAAAATGAATGAAGTGCCAAATCTGTCTGCTGGTTTGCTGGTTGGAGTCTTTCCATTGACTCTCAGCAGCTGGTGATGCCTCTCAGCCCTCTGTAGACTGGTGACCTTCTTTTTTTTTTTTGCTAATTAGGGCAGTATTTCAGTGAGAAATACTGATCAGATTTTTTTTTTTTTTTTTTTTTTTTTTTTTTTGAGACAGCGTCTCCCTGTAGCTCCAGCTAGCTTGGAACTCACTATGTAGACCAGGCTGTCCTTGATCTCACAAAGATCCACCTGCCTCTGCTGCCCAAGTGCAGGGATTAAAGGCGTGTGCGGCTTTGACCACAAACAGTTTAAGGGTATGTTTAGTCTACCTGGTGATTTGAGATCAGTATGAGGTGGTGGGGAAGGCTTGCCAGCAGAAGAGGGGTCATGGTGGCAGGAGCAGGAGGCCAGCTGGTCACATGATATCAGCAATTGAGAAGCAGGGAGGAAGTAAGGAGTGGGAATGGCCTTGAGGTTTTGTAGTGATCTACTTCCTCCAGCAAGGCTCTTCCTCCTGAAAGTTCCACTACCTCTGGAAACAGCACCAAACAGGAGCCCATGGGGGGCATTTCTCATTCGTACCACAAGAGGGCATTTACCAAGTTTTAAGTACCTACAAGGACCCAACACTGGTTTATGATCTTTCTAGTAACTCTTTATATCCTCCTACCTGCTCCTGGAAGCCAGTCTAATGTTGGCTGGTGCCCTTTGCCATACTCATCCTGTTTGACTTTTGGGAGTCCTCGCTTTAGAGTTCAGCACCTCTGGGGCACCTTGGGGTTTGGCAGGAGAATTCTCCTTTGATTCTCTTGCTCCCTTCCTCTAGCCATCCCCTAAATCTCCTGTAATCTGATGACTGATTTCCTCTCTAGCTTCCAGCCCTGTGGAGCTGGAAAGCTGGGTTTCCTGGAATGTTCTTACTTCCATTTCTACATCTTGTCACCCATTCTCCCCTGTGACCTTTATGTGTGTGTGTGTGTGTGTGTGTGTGTAGGCCAGTGTCAACATCAGGTGTCTTCCTCAGTTGTTCTTCCCATTGAGACAAGGACTCTCATTAGCCTGAGGCTTACCAATTCATCTAGGCTGGCTGGTTAGTCTGCCCCAGGGATCCTCCTGTCTCCACCTCTCCAGGGCTGGGACTATAGCTCATGCTGTGGTGCTCAGCTTTTCTATGGTTTCTGAGGATCCATATTTGGGTCCTCATGCTTTTACCAACTGAGCCAATCTCCCTAGCCCCTAGAATAACCTTTTAAAAAAATTCATTTTTTTTATTATTTATTATTTTATGTGTATGAGTGTATTGCCTGGATGTATGTGAGTGCACGCATGTTGTACAATGCCATTGGAGGTCAGAAGAGGGCTTTAGATTCCCCTGGAACTGGAGTTAAGGATGGTTTGTAGCCGCCATGTGGGTGCTGGGGATCAAACCCAGGTCTTCTGCAAGAGCAGTCAGTGCTTTTAACCGCTGAGCCATCTCTCCAGCCCCCTCTATTTTTTTATACAAGGTCTCATATACTCCAAGCTGACCTCAAATTCCATATGTAGCCAAAGTTGACCTTGAATTGATCCTTCTGTCCCTACCTCTTGAGTGCTTGAATTACAGGCATGTGCCACCATGCCCTGTTTATGTGTTACTAGGAATGGAACCCAAGGCCTCAGGCATGATAGGCAAGAGCTCTACCGACTGTGGTGTAGCCATTTCTGCTCACCAGCCATTGGTTGTCCTTACCCAAGCACAGGCAGCTAAGTCCAATGCTACCTAGTACCTGAGGAGGACAGAGTGATTTTCAAAGAGCACAAAGATTGACACTGCACTTAACACACACAATCTATGTAGGAGGGAGTTTTTACAATGTTCTTTCCAGATGATCATCAGATTAGAGGGGCCTTACTGGGGATCCTGTGTTCTTGCTTTTCAGCCCCTGACTGACAGGAGTCAGAGTTCCCTTAGGAGAAGCTCAGCAGACCAACACCCACGTGGGATGTAGCCTGAGCCATCTCCAAGGTCCTCAGTGCCCTTTCCACAGCAGGGCACATGTGCTGTGTGAGACAGCCCCTCCACAGGGGTTCTGCTCCTCCTGAGTCTTTCCACTTTCCACCAGGGCCTAGTACCTCCAGACCTTGAACATGACCCCACTGATGGGCATGAGTCAGCCCTTCTCAGACAGCCCAGTGCATCCTGTTTTTAAGGCAAAGGAACAGCAATCCCACTTCCAGGAAAAGGCCAGTGTGCTGTGGGGCTGCACAGGAGGTCAGGACAGGCAAATCCTGGCCTGTGTGTAGCCTGATTCACAACCTGCTCCCCTGAACTCATTTCACTTGTGGGTAGCTTTATTATATAAGTTCACCTTTGATCAGAGTCCTGCCTGGGGAGGAAAGGTGGAATACACTGCTGTAACATGTTGGAGCATATGTCTTAACCTCTTTTGTCCATCACTGTAGAAGTCCACATTTGTGCAACACTAACTTCCCTTAAATTTGCACCCCTACAGCTCACAGGTACTTCTATTGAGTCCCTGGACGTTTAAGAAACTTCCTGTTTAACTGCTAGTTACATGGATGTGTTCCCCTTTAGCTTACACTTCCTGAGTGCAGACCCCTGTTAATTCATGGAAACAGGCTTGAGTGTGAGTCATCCTCTGGTGTCCAGGTCTGTTGAAGCCTCCTACTGTTTTCCCCTTTAGAGTATGTTTGTCATGCAATTACTCCTTAGCAAGTCTTTTTTGTTGTTGCTTTGTTTTTAAATTTAAAAATTACATTTAGTGTGTGTGTGTTAGAGGACAACTTGCAGGAGTCGTCCCCCCCCCCCTTCCACCACATGATTTCCAGGGATTGAACTCGGGTCATCAGGCTTGGTGGCAGGCCTGTAGTAGTCAGTGGATAACACTGAGCCATCTTGCAGCCCCCAAGACTGTGTTTTTTGCTAGGGATGTCATTGGGAGTTCTGGGTCTGTTAGTTGCTGACATAGAGCCATTTAAACAAAACACAACCCCTCTGATACAATACACATGTATCCTAATTTGGGATTATCAAAAGAATAATTACATGGTGCGGGCCGTTGTATCACTGAACAAGAGCCAATTCTTCTCAAAGATTAAATGTTTATTAACTCGATACAGTGAAATGTGCCATCGGGTTTGTATAGAAGTTAGGGAGGGAGGTCACACAACTTGTTGGAGGTGGAAGGTGGCTTTTGTTCAGCTAGAACATCAACCATAGTCGAAGCCCTATTTGGACAGAAAATTATAAGCTGCTGGTTTGGAAGGAGATGGATGGAAAGCCGGTGGGAGAAAATAAGTAGTCGGTGCAGTTCTGGCCTCAGGCTATGGCTGGGGTTAGGGCTCTGGTCCTCCTAAGTGACCTAGGTCAAGTTAACAGCTGTAACTCTATTGCTAATAGGATGTCATTAGACAAGATGGTGGCACGTGGAGGTCCCGCCCCAGGATACCCCCAGGCCAAGGGTCTCCAGAGCTGCCTGTCCCCTTGCACACACTTGACCACCTAGTCCCCCATCTTGGTTTCTGTCCATCGTCTTTGTCCTTCTCTTTGGCTTTTCACTACTTTGGCTTTGCCTTGGCTTCCCCTGGAGTGCACCCGCCCACGCCTGGCGTCCCTGACCGGTTCCCAAGCTCCGCCACTGCAGCAGCGGTCACGTGCTACGCGTCCCGCCGAGGAGGTGTAGGAAAAGGAAGCGGGCGTGGCCGACCGGTGAGGCCACGCCCCAGGTTCCTCGGCGGCTCTTCATTGGCTCCGGATTGGAGGAGGGGCGTGGCCTCGGAGAGAAGCCTGGAGGGCAAGCTCTGGCAAGCCCGGGTTGCCGGCCGACGGCGGGAGCGCGCTCCGGGGGGTGGGGACGCGAGCTCCAGGCTGCTGGATGACAAATCGGCTGGGGACTGCTGGGGTCCGGCCCCAGGACGGGGCGGGGCGCGGGTGAGAGCGGCGGGGCCGGGTGTGCGAAAGGCCAGCGGCGGGACGGGTCCCCCAGGTAAGGATGCTGCGCTGGGGACCCTCGGGGTGGGGTGCGCCCTGGGATGGGCACCTGGGTGCATGCGCTCCCCCGCGATCGCGGCCTCCTCTCCCCACTCGGGACGAAAGGGACATGTTTCTCCCTTGGAGCAGAACAACGCCCCGGGCTGCAGCCCCACTTGTCTTGGAGGTGTGCGCTGGGAAACCCTGGGGGCCTCCCAGCTGAATCTGGGGGCACTGAGGACGCGGGGACGGAGCCCTAGCCTCTCTTTCCTTGTCGCCTGTCCTTCCCTTTCCCCACCAGTGGCTACTTCCTGCCCTTTCGGGCCTCCCGCCCGAGCTGCTCTACTTCCTCAGCCCCTTCAGAGTGATAAAAGGTTGCAAAAACTCCTTTTTTGAACGTTGCAGCTTGGACTTGGGTGACTTGGGAGCAGGGTTCCAGAAGTTTTAGGGGGTTGGTTGGTTGAGAATGACTTTCTGATCCTGCCTTGCCAATCAATGCCTTTCGGAGCGTGGCTGGCACGGAAGGTGGTTTCTAGAAGCAAGGTGGCCTGAAGGGTTTGCCTGGCCGGGCCTCAGTTCTCTGTGTGAAGCCATGTCCCTACGTGACTCTGAGCTGAGGCCCCTGTGAGCACCGCGCCCGCAGTGCTGGGAGGCCACAGTGCTGGGAGGAGCGGCGTCCTTCCTCCCTGTGTGCTCACTTCCAAGTGACTTCCAGAACCCTGAGACTTTGATGTTATCAGCTGAGCCTTCTGGGGAGAGGTTCTGGCGTCCCGGGTGGACTGAATGTTCACCGGAGCTCCCCATGACGCCTTCACCCCTTGTAGACAGTACTGCCTGCTCTGCCTGCTTTCATCGCCTCTGTTCCTCTTACGTTTTGAAGACAGCCAGTGGCTGGTAATGAGAGGGAAAGAGTGTGTTTTCAATGCGCAGTAGAAGGTTGTTCTAAGAGCAAGAATCTTGGATGTCAAATCTCAGAACAAGTCTAGGCCGTATTCCTTAAATCCTTAAGCCTGGATTCCTTAAGCCTGGTGTTCCATTGTGAGAAGCAGGGTGACCTAGGAAGAACAGGAGGCTTAAGTTGAAGGCCAAGGTTGGATGCTGGTTTTGGAACTTTATGTGTTTATGTGAGACATGGTTTCATGTATCCCAGGCTGGCCCCGAACCTGATATGTAACTGGGGATGACCTTGATTTTCTGATCCTCCTGCTTCTACTTCCATGTGCTTGGATTACATGTGGGCATGGAACCCAGGGCTTCCTGAATGCAAAGCAAGCACTGTACTGACTGACCTACCTCCCCATCTGGTTCTGGAACTTTCTTCATGGCCTGGTCTGGAGCATGCCCTTTCACTTCCCTGGGCCCTATGTAAAAGGTGGCTGTAGTTCTCTATCCTCACTGTAAAGGAGTGTGGCAAGGAGTGTTTAAGGTGCTTTTGTGGGAGTCGTCCTGGTGGGACTAGGGTTTGGGAAGTGGCCCCCAGAAGCCTGTGTAGTAAAGGTTTGGTCACTAGCTTATGGCCCCATTGAGAATTGGTGGGGCCTAGTCGTTTTGGGTACCCCTTTCAGGGCATATGGGGACTCTGACCTCTTACTGACTCTACTACTTGTCCACTTAGAGGTAAATAGCATCCTCCTTTAACAAGCCAACAGACCATGGGCTGGAGCTGTGCCTTTCTTCTTTAAATTTCTTTTTTCTTTTTTTGAGACAGGGTCTCCCTGTAGCCCCAGCTGGGCTAAAAGTTTCTATGTATACCAGACTGTCCCCAGAGATCTCTTACAGAGATTTGCCTGCCTTTGCCTCCCGAATGCTGTGGTTCAAACCATGCTTCACAATGCCTGGCACCTTTAAAAAACTTTTGATTACATTGTTATTGTGTGAATGTCATAGTGCACACGTAGAGGTCAGAGAACAACTTTGTGGAGTTGATTCTTTCCTTCCCTTTTCTGTGGGTTCCCAGGATCAAACTCAGGTCACTAAACTTGTGCAGCAAGCGCCTTTCCCCACTGAGCCATCTTGCCAGCCCTGAAATGTTTTTTTTTTTCTTTCTTTTTTTTTTTTACTATTATTTTTATTTTATATGTATGAGTGTACCGCCTGCATGTATGTGAGTGCACCCATGTTGTGTCTTTTAAATGAAGTATCTTAGGTCTTTGTTACTGTAACAGCAAACTAACACAAGTGGGAAGAAGCCAGGGTGCTGTGCCCTGTGTGTGTTCTCTACTTTACTCCACCACTTCAATCTTGTCTTTGTCTTTCTCTCTTCCTCTCTTTGCTAGCAGTTGGACCCAGGGTCTTGTGCGTGCTGTGCCCCAGCCCCTTTCCTTCCTTTCTTGGCGTATCATTTCCCACTGTGAACAGCGACTGCTCTTATCTGAGATCCCAGCAAGGTTTTCCTGTGCCTGGGGAGATGTTTTTCCAGGATTCTGTGTGGAAAAAGTGGGGGTGTAAGTTACAAGATATCTTTTGGAAAATGAGACTTAGACACATATACTAGGAAAACAAGAATTGAAACCTTAAACAGAACCTGAAGAGGGTAGAAGAAGTCGAAGAGTTCGCAGTTTTTTGTTTTTGTTTTGTTTGTTTTATGTGGTGCTGGGAATGTAGCCCCCAAATTCTTAGGCTAGGGAGATGGCTCAGTGTTTGCCATGCAAGTGTGAAGACCAGAGTTTGGATTCTGGCACCCATATAAATGCTGGGTGAGCGTGGTAGCCTCTAATTCCAGCCTGGAAGGTGGCAGAGAGGGATCCCCAGAGCAGGAGGACTAGTGAGATAGTCCCATCATATCCGTGAGCTCTGGGTGTGATTGAGAGACCCTGCCTCAATGAATAAGGTGGAAGATCAGTGGAGAATGATTCCTGACACCAACCTTGGGCCTCCACCTGCATATGCTCCCATAGCACATAGTGACATGTGTACACACATATGTATGCTGCATACATGATATAAAATGGAAAAAGAAAAAAAATTTCAGTTCTTGCCTTAAGGTTCTTCAGGGTTCTTGCCTCCAGTGGAGATGGCTTAAGATTCCAGGACTAAATTTAATCTGGGATTTGAGACAGTTTTTGATGCCACTCCATCACTGTGAACTCTGTATTCAGTGAGGAAATAAACATCTCATTCCTGGATGTGGGAAACATTCTTGGAGACCTTTTCTGAAAACTGAAGTTGAAACATTGTAACAACCGAGAACTTTTGGTTGGGAAAAAGTCTTGGTGAACTGAGGTTTCCATTAAGTTACAATGCAGTAGTTAAGAGCGCTGGCAGCTCTTGTGGAGGACCTAAGTTCAGTTCCCAGCACTCCATGGCAGCTATAACCATTCAGAGCTCCAGTTCCAGGGGAGCAGATGCCCTCTTCTGGCCTCCACAGGCATTGCATTAAGTGTTACACACACAAGCAGGCAAAATACTTCATGTGCAAGCGCGCGCGCACACACACACACACACACACACACACACACGAATAGAATGTATATAGTAAAAGAATCCCACTTTTTTTCCTGTGGTGCTAAAGATTGAATTCAGGACCTCATGCATGCTAAGCAAGTGCTCCACCACTGAGCTATATCCCCTGGCACAAGAGTCCCACTTTTCTGTATGTGTGAGCTAGTCTGTATGCATTCATATAGATATTCATGTGGGTGCATAGCAGACATCAGAGGACAACCTAAGGCGTCAGTCCTCAGGCACCTTCTACCTTTCTGTTTGAGAAAAGGTCTCTCATTGACTTGGAACTTTGCCATGTAGGCCAGCTTGGCCAGCCCTCTTCTGGGAGTCCATCCATCTCTGCATCCCATTTTCCCATCTCTGAGATTACAAATATGTACCATTGGTCACAGCTTTTTACATGAATTCTGGGGCTCCAACACAGGCCCTCAGAGATGTGGGACAAGTGTTTACCAACGGAGTCATTTCCTTAGCCTCAAGTCCTGCTTTTTTGTTAAGTCATGCATAGCCTGAGGAGACCAGAAGAGAGTATTGGATCCCCCTGGAACTGGAGTTCCTGGCGGTTGTTAGGCACCACGTGTGTGTGGAGAAATCAAACCTAGGTGTTCTGGAAGAGCAGCCAGTGCTCTTAACCATTTCTAAACTCCAATCACTTCTAAACAGCACCACCTTTTAAATAAGCAAGATGTTTAACTTCTTTATTTTATTTTTATGTGTATGTATGTGTGTGCCTGCATGAGTTTATATGTACCATATTTGTGCAGAAGCCCATGGAGGCCTGAAGAGTGCAGGTAATTGAGTGCTGAGAACTGAACCCAGTTCTGCAAGAGCAGTAAGTGCTCTTAACTTCTAGGCCATCTATCTCTCCAGCTCCAGACCTTTAGTTTCTGAATTTTGGAAATCTGGGAAAAGTTGACTGGATGCTTCTTTCTCCAGATCAAACCTGAAGTCGTGGTCACTTGATGGCTTAGCTTGGCTACCATCTGTTCTCAAGATGGAGCACTCACATGACTGTCCACTTAGGACTGTTGTCTGGGAGCCTCAGTTCCACATGGTGGAGCCCTCTATGTGCTACAGAAAACAGCAGCTAACTTTTCCCCAGAGCCAGGAGAGAGAGAGAGAGAGAGAGAGAGAGAGAGAGAGAGAGAGAGAGAACAAGAGAGAGATGGAGAGAGACAGAGAGACAGAGACAGAGAGAGAACAAGAGAGAGGAGAGGGGAGAGACAGACAGTGAGAATAAAGATGATAATTACCAAGGTGGAAGGTGAATTATCTTAGTATCTAATTTTTTTTTTTTGGCAGTGTCTCCCTCTAGCCCCAGCCAGCCTAGAACTCGCTATGTAGACCAGGCTGGCCCCAATCTCACAGAGGTCTGTTTGTCTCTGCCTCCCAAGTGCTGGAATTAAAGGCACGTACCACCATACCTGGCTTAGTATCTAATCTTGAAAATGATATATCACCTCTTTAACTTTTTTTTTTTGTCTTTTTGAGACAGGTAGCCCTGTCTCCCTGTAGCCCCAGCTGTCCTGGAACTCACTGTGTAGACCAGGCTGGCCTTGAACTCACAGAGAT